TTAGGTGATGCCATGGGTCATCACAGGTCAGTAATAGAATGTATAATTCATTTGTTTTGTAAACTTATGGGACTAATAACAGTATATAGCACATGTCTAAAAGCAGGTCCCGTGTGAATACAATAATGGGTATCACGAAAGTTGGGCATCATGAAATATATATGGTATTTCCAAGTATTAGAGCAAAGGTAAGGAATATATTGTGCAAGAACGTTCATGTCTGTGAAGACCGCCTCCGTGGTGTAGTGGTAAGAGCGTCCGCCCGGAGAGCGGAAGGTCGCGGGTTCGATCCCCGACCGCGTCATACCAAAAGACGTTAAAATATGGTATTTGTTGGTCCCTGCCTGGCGCTCGGCATTAATTAAGTCTTATTGACTTCCTCCTTTCAAACTATGACAAACTTGATTTTATTCGGAATATATGATCAAGCGGTTGGACATTAAGAACATGTCGATAGCCTTTTGGCATTCTGGAATCTGCAGTGGCCAATACTTTCAATATTTCATATTTTGGGATGCTCAGACAAGTACCAATAAATCCAACATGTTGCCTATCGACCACATCCATTGCCCAGTTCAAAGAAAAGAGCATAGAGTCGATTGATCCGAACCCAGGCTCAACCGGGAATGTAATTGCTGCACTTTTTAAACCAGACTACTTCAATACGAATTATGAGTCAGAAGAATGGGAACCATGTACATGCAGCTCTTCGACATGCCAAAGGCCATGTGTTGCACTTTACAAATCATATTGCCATCAGACGTCAATGATGTACACTGATGTAACCAGCACCGACCAAGTGTCATGTTTTGAGATAAGCCTCAGTTCAGTTTGCAAATCCTTAAATGTCATTTCGGTGTCTGCAGACGCACAAACGAACTTCATGTCAATGTGAACCTCAGATCTTATAAATGATCTTGCTGTCGATCAGTTACGGAGAGGGGTGGTATAACGGAGTATACCCACATCACCTAATTTTGACCTAACTGACCAAAAGAAAGTCAACTTTTCCTCATCGTCCTGCAACATTGTTGGTAATCACTGGTCTACCCAGTTCGTATCTTTGAGTGGTTTATGCCTGTTTAAGCGTATGATGAAACTTTAGTGCATTATGTATGTCTCGTGTTTTGGGCATGTTTGAGCGTATGAAGTATATTTTTTTGTAAGAGGTGAGGTGAGGTGAAATTGGGTTTAACGTCGTGCTTGAGAATATTTCGCTCATATGACGACGAATTTTTGTACGATGCAAGTGTTAGTCTGTGTGTTCAGTTTGGATAGAATGAAGAATGTGTAATCGCAAGATTACAGTATGTTTGAGTAAATGATGTATGTTGGTTTATGTGATGTATTGGTGTAAAATGTTTGACTGTATGATGGAACTTGGATACCACTTGTGTGTTTGACGGGGTTTGTTTTTTATTTGAGTGGACTCCTGTTGGGACTTTTCCGTATTTCAAAGAAACCATGTATCAATATTATTATGTAATTACCAGTCATTCGACAGTATGACCTGTGCATTTGAAAGAGACGATGTATCAATATTATCATGTGATTACCTTGATCAGTAGACGGATTTACCCGTGGCGAGACGTGACCCTAATCTGAGAGGCATGTTTTTCTTGGGCATGATACAGCATGTTCTCCAACATCCTTGACATTGCTCTCCGTGGCGTGCTAGAAGTCATCACTCGATGAAGTAGGTGATCCCAGCTAATAATCAATATAATGATAAAACATTACAACATTACACCTCTCAAGTCTCAAATGACACAACCGACCCCATCTGTCTTCATTATTGCATTTTACAAGGTTGAAACATTCACCCTATCACACATTCCTTCTGCAACATTCTTCTGAAAACTACTCCTATATAATCTATTTTCCAAGAGTTGACGTTTTGGAATAACAAAATGTATCTTCATGCTTTCTGAAGTCACGTTGCTGTTTGTCACTCATTGTCATTCACGTGGAATGTCTTGTTAGCAACGGTGCGGACTGGTAGCCTAGTGGTTAAAGCGTTCGCTCGTCACGCCCAAGACAGGGTTCGATTCCCCACATGGGCACAATGTGTGGAGCCCATTTCCGGTGTCCCCCGTCGTAATATTGCTGGAATATTGCTAAAAGCGGCGTAAAACCCAACTCACTCACTCACTCTTGTTAGTAACACGTTTATCTTGTTACTGAGGCAGAGGGGTAGACTAGCGGTTAAAGGTCACATGCAACCAACAAATCAAACATAATTAAAACACAATTATCACTTATTCATGACATATAATATACATTGCTGATTATGAAAAAAACATATAAACAAAATTATAAGCGTACAATCGCAAATCAAAAGTGCAATATTGTGTACTTGGGTTTACTTCCCAAGAAACGAAGCAGCCGGGATACCGAACCCAGTCAGAGCGGGTGGGTGTGCACTCAAGTGTAACAGCTGGCTCATTTGCAGATGCGCTCACGGCTCATTGTGTGTGCGTGTGTATATAGAGATGTTGGGTTTTGTAAATACATGCTCATTTTTTGTGTATAACATTTTACAATCAACAGACATCATAACATGTCATGTGTACAAGTATCACACCTGCCTGTCTGTGTAATTACATATACATAATGTGATAGAGACCGAACTCGGGCAATAAATCAATGCATAAATCATGTGCTATGAGCCTAGCCCAGCTGTTGAAACCATTTCCACCAAGCGCTGGGGGAACAATTAGTGAATCGTTTGAACTCCGATTTCGTGCGGTTTTTTTCATCGCGTTATTTTTCAACTTTATAAGTTGAATTTGCATTTTTGATGATTTGTTTCGGTAAGTCCATACCGAAAGGTATCTGAATCTGCAAAGTTGTGTGACCTTTAAAGTTTTCAATTATCAGGCCAAAGACCACGTTTCGAACTTCACACAGGTAGAGTGTACGAAACCTATCTTCGATCTTTCTCGGTATTGCTGAAAATTAAAAGGTGTAAAATCACCTTCTCGCTTATCTTGTTCTGATTCAATGTACTGCTCCCAAAACACACCTTAACGCGACTGTTTAGTACGCGTCCCTTTTAAAACATATATATTGCCTTTTTTTTCTTAAGTGTGGGGAGGAAAGATGAAAGGAACTCTTCCGACACAAATCATTCCAGTACTTCATGACGCTTTAGCTATAGCTTGTTCATTTACCATGGAATGGCCATTGGTCAACAAACTGGAGTGTGATGTTTGTATCAGAAATGGCAGTGCAATGGCAACAAACCAAGATGTAAAGCTTAAGAGGGATAAAGTGCAATAAGCACATCAAACGCCGCTTGTACAAAGAGCTGATCAGAAGTGGATACGTGTAGACGTCACACACCGTTACACATGAAGCCAGGCTAGCTTGTTGTCGTCGTCATCATCATCATCATCATTATTAGAAACCTGTGGATGTCCAAACAAGATAAGGCTAAGGCTCTAAACTGTTGTTGAAACCAGTTTACTGAAGATGCATTTGAACAAGACAATTGGTAAATAATCAATTGCATGTAAAACTACGTACATATCTGAAGTATTTTCAGAAGACCATTACAAGAGAGGGGTATTACACAGACGTGATGTGTGGTATGTGCGCGCGATTCACTGTAACAACAATTGTAACACAAGTACAGACATAATAGTTACTATCGATTTTCTCTTTCTTTGTTTCTTTCTTGGAAGACAGAAAGGTTGTAACCTTTATATTAAAAAAAACTTTGAAAGTGTTGTTTCCTTACTTCTTTGTTTACATTAGTTTTGGAAAGTTAAAGACCACGTTCCCGAAAACTTGTAAGTGTTTACAGAAACCATTTAGGGTATTATACCATACACCTTATTGGGAAACTCTGAAATACGTTTTGATTACACTACACTGTGCTGTTGGTTTTCATGTGTTATTATTTCATAAAGAGTTAAAACTTGTCCCTGTTTCTTGTCTCCTTGTTGCTTTTTGTGTGTTTTCCTACAAATCCTACATGGAAGGTATCAACCCGTGGATCAGCGGGTAATAGGATCATAGCTATCACACTGTAATCAGTTAAATAACGATACCATTGACTGAACGATTTCCAGATCTTATACATCAGCTGAACAAAAAATGGTTTTACGAGGACGGTCGATTTCGTATTATTTCCATGTAAGTGAAATAACATATGCATCACATAGCATTTTCACAAGTAGAAACTTATTTTTGAAAACTTTGTAACAAAAACAATAATATTATGCGTCCTGAAAAGTGGGCAAGATGTCGATTCGCTGTGTATTTCAAGCGAATAGGACCAGGAAGCGCCTGGAAGGCAATCACAGAAATAGGTTGTTCATGTTTGTAAGACACCTGACCAACCGACGGTGATATATTTTAAAGTTTTAATAAAGACAAGGTAAGGGTTCGGATAATATGTCTCTCAGTACAATCCAATTTTACTACAAGCAAAAAAGACATACTGTATTAAGGGATCACGCACTTGGCTTTTAAAAGCATTGATGTGAATACTTTTCAAACAATAGTGAAAGAAACAAACACCAACATGCCTACAGCATGAGACATGTACTTAGTGTGCCACACAATAACACACACATGTGACTGTCCTGAAATACTTAAGAAAAGTTTGCGCAAAGTATTGTTAACCGGTGGATTCTGGTTACAGTTATGTCATGTATTACTATTAAATGGGACTCAGATTAGTCTCATAGTTACCCTGTAAAGCCCTGCAATATAACAGCTGACTGAATAGCCGTTAACTAGTAATTAGTAGAATTAATTACTTCATTCTAATCAGTGAAATATACCCCAAGTGATTGCTATACAAACACACACCCTGAAGCAAGTTTCCGCTTGTACAAACAACATGGCGGAACCGAGACTACTCTAGGTCACGTGGTCCCATCGGACCGAAGTATTTATAAGAAAGGTGAACATGGAACCAGCAGTCGAGCAACAAACGGACAATCGGATATTCCTCTAAATTGCAAGTGCTATTCTGAGCTTTGATAAAAATGGACAGGAATAGTTCGCGTCTTGTTCTGGTGGATAATGATTTCCTGGACAGTGAAAGTGGAGGTGAGTTGTTGCTGCATACGCCTTATAAATGGCTGATTTAACCGATAATGACTAAAACAGTTTATATCAAAAACTAAATGATTAAACATTAGATATAGTAGAATTCATCCATGACATCTACGTCAGACCATGAGTTTGGTTTGCTGATGACCAAAAACAATAATGAATCAGATTGTACAACTATACGATTTAATTTCAAAATCAGTGCTAAATACTTTGTAGGTATCATTATTTTTACCATATCTGGTATGCAATTTGTATGACGCTTGTGATAAGGTCATTATGAACACGTCGTTCCAAATTGTAAGCCTGATTTTGTGTAGTGTTGAGGCTGGATAATGCACAGGCCGTCAGCGATTGATGGAGTTGTCCTGTATTATGGAAGTGTCTTAGGTATATATAATCGTGTACACTACAGTGTGTTATATGAAAGAGAAGGTATATTCGTATTCTGACATCCAAAGAAACGTCTTTACAACCGAACTGAAGATATTACCAGAACCAATGTCTCAATACAGAAGATGTTTTGTCAATTTTTTGTGTTAACTTTACAAGCAGCTGTGTATTCAGTCTGGGTTCAGTGTTATACCGTGTGGTGTTTTACATTGAAATGATATAGTATTTACATGTGTCGAGTCGACTAGAGATTCGTCTCCTAATTAACACTGCTTTAATCTTACGTTTGCCAATGGACAATGTACAAATGATCTGTCATGATTATGGAAAAAGTTTTGTTGTTATATTATATGTTGTATTAGTGAGTGAGTGAGTTAATATTTAGCGTCACATCGGCAACAATTCAGCCAAATCGTGACGAGAACAATTTAATTTATATCATTATTAAAATAAATTTTGAACGGAAAAACCAGGACAGTAAAACACTAGAGTATCACAGATATAAATATAAAACTAGTAACCTATCGTAAAATGATAGCACTATAGACAGTACAAAATAAAACTGATACTAGTGAGGGAGTATGGTTTTACGCCGGTTTTAGCAATTTCCAGCAATATCACGGCGGGGGAACACCAGAAATGGGCTTCACACATTGTACCCATGTGGGAGTCGAACCATGGTCTTCGGCGTGACGAGAAGACGCTGTAACCACCAGGCTACCCCACCTGCCCGGTTATGTACAATAACGTGATACAAGTTATACCTTTCTCATGGTTAAGTATATATAATATGGACAAGAAGTTGCAAAGTGATATATAGGCTACTACGCACTTCATTCTTTTAATGTAACTTCTTTTGGTATTTAGGTTCCCTGAGATATGAGGATTTAAATATCTGTAATTTGATTAGTTTTGGGTATTCACAACGTTCACTTTGCTGAATTTCCCCATCTTTCTCGGAAAGTAATCTCTGCAGTAATTGTACATTTTGTTTTCAGTCTAACTTGACTGTACCGTGTTTGTTCACAGGTGAATCATCGTCGGGGTATGAATCCAGTGACTCTACAAATATAAATTCAAGCTTCGCCCCTTCTCACCGGGCGCATCTCTCATCTCAGAACCAAGTGATGATCTTCAAAAGCACAGCAGGCCTTCAGGATAGCCTCGCTTTCATTCTCAGCATGCCCGAGTTGTGCGACGTGACTTTTCTTGTCGGTAAAGATCAAGTTCCGGTTCATGGAGTCAAAGCCATTGTAGCAACTCGTAGCAGGTAAGAATGTAACGTCATTATGTAAAGTAACATGTACATTCAACAGACCTGAAGCCCATAAAGACATATTTTAATGGCAAAGATATGAAATCTTCTTCATCTTCATTTGTGATACTTAAAACAATTCAGAACACATAAGTCAGATACTGTCTACACAACTATTCCAGGTCTTTGTATCAGCTGGTCCTGCACCATCAAAGACAGTCTGAGTTGATGAAGACAACCAAGAAGAGATTCAAGAAACAGAAACCCTCTCCCTACCCAAACACGCTCGTCATCCACGTCCTTGACTACGAGGTGGAGACTTTCAGAAGGTTCATCACCTTTGTCCACTCGGGCAAGGTCAAGGTTGACGTCAACCATGTTGTCGGTGGGTTCTTATTATAATTTGAACGTAAATGGAAAACAGAACTTCCGAATTGGACCATCAAGTTAACTTAGTAAACTGCACGGTTAACCCACGTCTACATTGTATTTCAGGTCTTCTTTGCGCATCAGAAGAGTTTCAACTTCCTGATCTCCGCACTGCTTGCAAGGACTTCATAGACAGATGTCAAGGTCATGGACAGAGGAAAAAGCTTGGAGAAACAGCCACACAATATCTTCAAAAAGTACCTGCTTCAAAGCTGCTAGCCAAGGTATATATTTAGCCACATTTTAATGCTTTTAAACTTTGAAACATCTACGTTTGGTATGTACATATCAAACTTGTGTCATTTTAGCAATATTTTCATTTGATTTTGTCTTTTACAGTTACCATGAAAACCAAGCCGTAACCTAAGTGTACAAGACTAAAGGCTAGGCATAGAAGGCTGCTGTCGATGCACCAGCGGTGGCAGTGATCCGAATAGACGAGCCTTAACGACACCTACCACAAAAGGTGTGGATGCACCCAAAGCAGGGACAGTCATCTTTACCTCGTCGCACAAGTTCCGAGGAAGATAGAAAACAGATGGTATACTATAGATATGCCGCTCCAGAAACCAAGCACATATCTGTAAGGTCTTATGACCAGAAGAGAGGTTACAACCACCTTACTGCACCAGCAGACAGGGCAACTCAGGAAGATTCCACTCATGTTATTTTTTTATAGGATAGGATATTTATACAGCGCACATATCCACGCAACTAGTGCTTGCTCAAGGCGCTGGTATTTCTTTTTTTTCCCTCGATCACTGGATGTCAACCTCAACGGCACATCTTATCATCAATCTCAACTCCCTGGGGAGTATACAACTCTTGTAGCCACTAGGCGCACCGAGTTACTGTGGCTTTCTCATCCTCACGCGGTACCCACTCACACCTGGGTGGACTGGGACACATAGTCACAGTACTTTGTCCAAGTTCACTGCACATTGCTGTACTCGCAACTAGGTATTTGCACGTAATCATGTGGCCACAATGTTATCTATATTATGACCGTGTATTCATTAGAAATGTGTCACTTTCACATTGGCTTTATATATATGACTGAAAATAAATCTTAACTTGAATTATGTTTTGTTGTGTACTCTGTTATCTAATTATTGTTACCGTTTACACCACTTCGATGCCGTGACACTGTTATACCACAGGACGTTAAAATATGAAACTTGATGCCCTGCATGGCGCTCGACATTAACCTACAACAAGCAATGCTCTTCGCAGAGTCAGGATACTGTACTACCCATCAAAGTTTAGACTCACTAGTGCAAATGTAGCCAGTCAACTGTTCTGAACTTGATTTTGCAAAATATTCCATTCAGTTTAAAGGTACTGTTTACACATGAACTAATGTGTTGTAAAACAAATCCGTAACGGTTGTCATGAGTTCAGTAAATGATGAAAATCAGTGCAAATTGGTGAATTATTAACAAAACTTTACATCCAAACGCAGCTGTTCACATGAACGATACTTGCACATGCTTGTCAGCAATTGGATGCATGGTCCTCGTACAATTCATCTGCATAAAGTTTGCAATTGGTTCCCCCAAGTTACTGGAGAAATTCATCTTCGATGTAAACATATATATATAAATATATATACATAACATATACTGAGTGCTTTAGGTGAGTCTAAACTTTTGATGGGTAGTATATAAAAACCATAGTATACATTAAAACCATATCCTCTATTGTCCCAAACCTTGATTGACATGCCTCAACGCTTCACTGCTTATTAAGCCAACTGTGCAAATTAATTACGACTACAAAATACAGTCACAAATCACTTTTACTTTTAACCGAAACAACGGATAAATAGAAGAAAGCTCTGCTAAAACGCAGACTCTATATTGTATGATGAGTATGAGTTCATCAATCACTATTAAATAGTGATGATAACAGGTGTTCACGGACATCCTGTCCCAGAATGAGTGAGTGAGTTTAGTTTTGCGCCGCTCTTAGCAATATTCCAGCAAAATCACGGCGGGGGACACCATAAATTGGATTCACACATTATAGCCATGTGAGGAATCGAACCCGGGTCTTCGGCTTGACGCGCGAACGCTTTAACCACTAGACTACCCCTGCGCCCCTCCCCAGAGGTGGGACCTGTCAGAATCAAATGGAAGGGCTAATCAAATGTTCACCTGGTAAATGCGGAAATCTTTTACATGTCTACCATAAAACTTTTTCAAAGCTCCACAGAGGCCACGGATGTTTCAACTTTGGTCAGACAACTTTTTGTTAAAAGGGGCATGATCGTGTGAACTTCCAAAGTTGTGAAAGAAGGTTGAAGCTGCATGAATATTCTTCGATTATATTAAGAGTAAGTTGGCCATGGTTTATTTGTACATTTCGTTTCTGTCGCTCTTTGATGAATTCTCAATGAATGAAGCCAGAGGAATGCTTCTAAGCTTTTCAACACAAGTCGGAATGGTTTATTGTGCATTGAAATATGTTTCTTTTGTTTTGTATGTGCGGAGGGGAACGCTCTCCTGCTACTGCTGCTGCAACAACAACAACAACAACAACAAACTACTACTACTACTACTACTACTACTACTACTACTACTACTACTACTACTACTGCGAAGAATACTTTCACATGTCACCGTAACCTTACATCGATGAGACCAGGGTAGTTGAAAACCCAATACGGGCGTGCTTCAATACTGTTTCCACAAATCAGTAAAAAGCACACAAGAGTGAAGGTCAAGGTGACCGTAAAAGGAGAGAAGGAAAGAGAAAAAAAGAACAACCCGACTGTTGAATTATCTCAAACTCTATCCAGCAGATCTTCTTTCACCAAAACTCCGACATACTATCGTCGTACAATACCCTGGGGGTGTTTATTCATTAGTGATTATTAAACACATTTCAAAGAGATCATGTATCAATATTATCATGCAATTAGAGATGAGACTACCTCCATGTTAACATTTACGACCCGAAGGCATACGTGTCTACATGCTGTAACCTTAATAACAGACTAGTGATTATTTGGTGTTAGAAAGTACGTGATCTAGCTAGCTCGTGGTATTGACCTCGGATTAGTGTCCACGGGTCATGTTATCGCAATCTTCCCCGAGGTATAAAAATGGGTCATCACAGGTCAAGAATAGAAGGAATAATTCATTATACGGCCAAGTCAAGGGTAAGAGTTGGTGAAATAATTGTATACAATCTAAAGATCAAACGTTTCATAGAGTCTCTTCATTCCTAAATTTGCCTTTGTCTGTATGCAAGTGTAATAATATAAGAGTAACATGTAGTTTTCATTGAGGTGATGTGAGGTGAAATTGGGTATGCGTGTGTATGTGTATGTGCGGCTGCTTGTACTAGCCCAGACTTAAGCTGGTTTTATAGTGCTAGCTCACTGAGATACCATGCCACAGTGAAGCATGAATACCCCACTCAGACACATTATACTGACTCCGAGCCGACCAGTCCTTGTTGTACCCATTAATGCCGAGCGCCAGGCAGGGACCAACAAGTACCATATTGTAACGTCTTTTGGTATGACGCGGTCGGGGATCGAACCCGCGACCTTCCGCTCTCCGGGCGGACGCTCTAACCACTACACCACGGAGGCGGTCAGTTTTCATTGAGAATACATGTAAGCAGTATAGGGTAATGGACACATATATTCTTAAAACAGTAGGGTAATACAATACACCCTTCAAACTTAATAACATTATTAGGTAAAAATCATGATTTGGATTATTGTTCAAAAACAAACAAAATCATGGTAAAAAACAATCAATTGAATGAGAGAATACTGATGCAGTAAAGGTGGAACCACGTCTCATTCGCATGAAAGTAGTCGTAATCGACGCTTGTACTGCAATGCAAAAAACACGTCTCATTAGAGCATATCCAGGTGGTCAGGCTGTCGAAGACGAAGTCCATTTCTTAGTTAACTGTCCTTATGTTTCAGAATCTGATCTTCGGTTTGATTTGTTTCAAAAAGCTAGTATTTTACGCCCAGACTTTGCTCAGTTATCAAACACTGAACAAGCTGCATTCCTCTTACATACAGAACATATTGTTAATCCACTGGGCACTTTAGTTAGCTGTATCTATCAGCTATCAACCCAATAACATATTTATATTTTTTGTCCAAGTGCTTTCATATGTGTGGTACCCTTTCATGTTTTAAACTTAAAGTTTATACGTTTTATGCACATATTGTCTAGTGTCTCATTGGCCATCTGGCCAAAATAAACTATTTTGTCTCTGTCTGGTCATTATGTTCGGTAATGGAGCATGCCGGCCACTCTGTTGGCGGTGCATGAAAGACCATATCAGCAGAGTTTCAACCAGAGCGCATCATACTTGAGGCAGTAAGGCCAAGATTGACGTCGGCTCAACGTAATAATGCAGTTGGGAGAAGCAGGGGCTTCTCAACAAGCTCTAGCGAGGCACTCTGGCGTGTCGGGACAGACTATCTCTGCCTTATGGGCACGGTACAGAACCACTCAAAGTCCAAATGTAACCACAATCGCTCATCTCCGTCTCCGTCTCCGAAAGTATGGTGACATGGTCTCGTGCTGCTTGTGTCATGTCAACTGGTTTCGATATTAAACTTTGACAGTCAGTGTCAAGTACCAGTTATTAATATACAGGTACGAGTTTACGACAAACAGTCTGTGCAAGAACTTTATTTTATTTGTATGTTTCATTACTGCGATCGATGTATGAATGGTATTGCAGCGTGACAGTTAAAACACTTTCGTTCACCTTTCTCTGGCAATATCTCTCTTGAATCAAGGTACGCATTCGTTCTAGGTGTTGTGACCCACTCTATACCTACGCAATTAATCTTACCGTACAGTGACAATATTCAGATTTTAAATGAAGTTCAAAAATATATATTAAACTCCAAAAGGTTCAGTAATTGGATATAATGTTTATGATCTAAATAATTCACGGATTCAATGTATTACTTTATTTTAAATGTCTTATTCTCCTCTTGTATATATCTTTCTATCCCTGTACATATAGTTTGTTTCACTTTTGCATCTAAGCACTGTAAATAGGAGAGGGTTGCACTAAACTGGAATAACCTGTACCCAATCCATTCTCTTGGATAAATATGTTTAAATCAAATTAATCTTACCTTGTATTTGACACCGATGTAACCAAAATACTAAAATATACACCGTCAGTGGATATAATACCCAGGCTTGACTGTCCTTTGAAATTCCGTTTGGTGTATTACATGACGGGAAACATATCTTCCATGGATGGAACTTACTACTATTTTACCTGCAGTGTACATGTCATTTTAAGTCATGGCTGGATTGTCAAAAATTGGTTATAGCTGCAGGGATGGTGAAAATCCAGCTAGGGTCCATGCAGGAAGGAAATGTACTGTAAGTCCCCATGGTACCTAGTATAGTGAGAGCCGTGAAGGTCCAGGTTAGAATGTGCCTTCAGTAACCCATGCTTGTCGTAAGAGGCGACTAACGGGATCGGGTGGTCAGGCTCGCTGACTTTGTTGACACATATCATCGGTTCCCCATTGCGTAGATTGATGCTCATGCTGCTGATCACTGGATTGTGTGGCCCAGACTCGATTATTTACAGACCGCCGCCATATAGCTGGAATATTGCGGAGTGCGGCATAAAACTAAACTCACTCACTAGTATGGTGATCTACCATCGGCTATTGGCAATCTATAGCCTGTTTGTATTTTGTATCGTCTTCTACAGGTAAAATGTTTGAGATTAAATTACCTGTTTTACATTAATATCTGTGACAGTCTAGTTGTTTTACTGTCCTTCGTTGACAGGTATTTATATTGTGCTTTTAATTATTAAACATCTATAAATTGATTTGGTCACGATATAGCTGAAATATTGCCAATGTGACATAAAATCTTGACTCACTCACTATGAGGAATGCAGAAATACATCATCGCAAATTCATAAAATGTTTTTAAAAAATGCAGTTAATTAAAAAGTGATAATCAATGTACAAGTTGGCAGTAAATCAATCCACTCACTCAGTCACATGGTTGGATCACTGAAATTCAGTGATAACACCAAGTGAAGGGGAAAACAAGTTGCGATACGAAATCGTGATCTTCGCCGTACCACACCTCCCTCAAGTAACACAACTGTGAACTATTGCACGTAGCCATGCATAAATCTTTTACATGTGAAACCATTTGAATTATTAAACATATATTTTATATTACTTTTTTAGGTCAGTGCTCTTTTTGTCACTCATTTTCATTCATGCTGTTACGTCATATCAGCAACACGTTTGTTTGTATCAAACAAGTCAGCGAGCCTGACCACCTGAGCTTAACCACGAAAATAAAAAACAAACAAAAGAAAATTAAGTTCTTTTCTAATGGTTTATAAAATAAATATAGCTGAAAAAACTGCCGCAAAGTACGTTGTTCTGAGGTATCTTAGATTATACAATTCGTATCGTCTTTTGTCAGGTTTCTAGACAAAAACATTGTTTACTACATTACTTCGTTCACTTGTGTCCATTTAACGAAATTGTTAAAAACATCACTTTAAAGAATGTTTCAATCGTATTGGTTGAGCAGATACCTATTACAGAAAGAAAAAAATACCATGAATGAAAGAACTATAACGCTGGGACTCATGTTAGAATTACAACGAATCGTTCGCACGTTCAACATATCACGCCTGGGTAATACCAATCTTTCGAAATGGTAGTCCGAAACGACTTTAGACACGAACGTTGTAATTATGTTCTCTACGATTGACATGGTCTAAAACCCTTCCGTAAACTAATTGGTTAACAGCATTTTTAAACTTCACTCTGATATTGTACAGCCGCGTGTTTCTACTGTTGGTGTGAAACTGTGCACACATGAAGTCACAGGGTATAACATCAAAGTTTACATGCACCTGCTTCTGATCCAATCATTTACAAGAGTATTGATAATCACTACATCTTGGTATGTTGCCAGTGCATACACATTAAGATTAAGGCACATACTTCGAGAACAGTACACTCATTGTTGTGGTTTCAAGGTTTCAAGGTTTCTATTCTCAAAAATCACGAACAAAAGCATATATTTACAAATAGCAGTATTACAAGTAACATGATCGACATGACAGTTAACGACATTGCTGAGAAACCCACATTTCTTACATCCTAAATCGACAAGCTAAAGGATGTTGCACCACAGAGTGTTCGAATCATCTCAATCGGATATGTTAAGTTAATCCTTAAACACGTTGAAAACAGTGCAAGAAACATAATGTAAAATGGTCACTAACGACACAGATATATCAACGTCGTAAGTCTTTACATCATTTGGATAATTTCTTACCTTATATCAGCAACTTGAAATATTGCAAATTAAGTGAGTTGACCCTTTGGCAATATTTAAACAATGTAGAGAAAGACCAGATATGAGTTTCACACATTGTATCCATGTGAGGTTCGAATCCCAATGCACAGTTACAAGATAGCAACCCGTGCTTGTGTCTTCGCAAAGAGAAAATCCACATGTACAGAAGATATCAACTTGTGGCTCGCCAAGTGAAAAGGATGAGTGATGACAATTATTAGAACTTTCTAATCAATGAAATCAACATGAAGTGATTGTTGTATCAACATAAAACCGACCCGTGAAGATCCGGGCTAGAATCGCTCTTCAGCAACCCAAGCCAGTCGTAAAAGGCGACTAACGGGATCTGGTGTTCAGGCTTGCTGCCGTGGTTGCTACATGCCATCGTATCCCATTTGCGTAGATCGATGCTCGTGCTCCTGAATTGTCTGGTGCAGACTCGATTATTTACACACACCTGGCATATGGCTGGAATATTGCTGCGTGAATGGTTAAAAAACCCAAAACAACCAAGCAAACAACATAAAACCTAAAGCATGTTGCCGTTTATAATATAGCGCAGAAGTGACTATTCCTGCTTACTTCGTTTCTCTTCCCTTGGTCATAGCTTGCTTGCGATATTTCTATTCTCTTTGTCATATGGTAGTAAACCTGCCATGAACAGATAGAAGGCTCTGATATCATGCACCGTAACACATTCCAGATGACGGCCTGCAACTTCAGTGCTGAATCCCTTGGACGTGCCATCCTATCAGGTTTAACCCTTTGCTGTACAACAACCCAAAACAAAAGAGTTCAATTTCTTTGGGCACATAGTTTACTGTACATGTATTTTAAGATGCCAATTATTAGAAGGAATAAATACACCCACAATCATGTCTGATGTAATTTCTAAAACCAATTACTAAATACTAGTATCACTTTGGCCTACCATGTCGAATGTTAGCACAGATTCACGAGAAACTGTAATAGAAGCACCAATGTTCTTTTTCTTGAAATAATGTATTTTGGTTTGTTTTATTTGTCTATTTCTCTGATAAAAACATTAAAATATCGTTTCAAGTATTGTTTTCCATCTTCAATGAAATAGAAAAAAAACAGAGTCGCAGGTAACGATATTTGTTTCTAGAAAACAGAAAAAAATGTTTCACAGGAACCGGACAGGATTTTATACGATACTTTCGAAGTGTATATACTCTGGAGGATATATTACATTGCACCATGCTCTAGGGTTTTCAGCTGTGTGACTCCGTTAGAGCAAGCCTGTCGTTCCCAAAGTATCAATGCTGTGATTAGCATATCTACACAATCTAAAGCACGTTCGTGTTTGTAAAACAACATGACGAAGCAGACTATTTCCGGTCACCTGGTGCCATAATTCGGGTTCACGAAGGATTTATAAGAAAGGCGAATGTGTAATAGAAATCCATTCAACAAACAGGCACATTGACACTTCTCTATATTTGTAGTGGTAATCATAGTGTAGATGCAGGAAGGACAGAACTGCTTCACAACTTCGGCTGGCTGATAATGATTTCCTGGACAGTGAAGGTGAAGGAGCGTGTATAATATAATGCTGATTCAACATGCAATGTGGATGATCGTGTTCACAGGCGAATTTATACAGCGGTCGGTAGACGTATGAAAATACAAACAAATGGAAGTGTTTATTCAAGCATTTGATGTCACTGTAATAGTGGCGTTTAAGATACCGCATATACATGCATAAAGAGAATAGGAAAACATGTCACATGGTTGAACATTTGTGTTGCAGGAACCTTCTATTCAGCGATAAGAGTGATCAATCTGAGGTATAGTTTTCCTGTTTTTTCAATGGATAATAATGAGGTCTAATGTTTGTCGGATGAAAGATGGGTTTGAGGAGGTTTAGTTTAGTAATTGCTGTGTGTTTATAATGGAGTGAGTACTGCTTAGAGCAGCATCAGCAGTTTTGCAGCTATTCGTCACGAGAAATAGAATACACGGAACAAAATACAAATGATGTTGAAAATCTCTAAAATCTCAGAGACATATTACATGGATATTTGTAGTGGCTGCACACATGACTGATTAGATCTACATGTGCCATTTACAGGATCTCGGATATCATGGAGCTACATTAAGTCTGAATTAGAATACATATTGGCAGTGCAATCAAATGTTGTGTATTGTATTATGCTATTCCCCAGGTGAATCAACAACTGGTCATGAATCCTATGAGGCTTCCATCCAGTCCAAAGATCATCTTTAAAAGCACTGCCGGTCTTCGTTGCAGCTTCTCGTTCATACTGAGCATTCCCGAACTTTGTGACGTCACGTTCCTTTTAGGCAAGGATTAATTCTCTTCTCATGGGGTCAAGGCCATTCTAGCAACTCGTAGTACATCTCTTATGTATCAACATCATTATATGTCACAATAATTTTCTTAAGAAACATCTTGGTCTTAACGAGCAAGTCTCAAGGTCATTCAATAAGGGATGTCGTGCACCTTATGAAATTGACCTGAACACGCCAGACATCCATAAAGCCTGATGAAGTCGCAATGTCTGTTATGACACCACTTCAGACACAGATCAAGCTTCACGTAGTGTCCATCTTGACCGTATATGCAACGTATATATACGTCGTAATAGGGAAAGAGGTCTTTTTCCAGAATGCAGGTGATATGAAAGGTCAGACAGTTTGCATGTTCATTGTTCCAGGATAGAAAGCCATCATGTACAGCCTTCATTGCCAAACAGCCTCGCATTCCTTTTTTCAAACAGCTGGAAGAACTTCCGTCTTCTTTTTGAAACAGTTAGCTGGTTTCACAGAGAACAATAAAGGACACTGTTAGTGACAATGAGAAAAAGAGTTAGTGTGTGATTGTTGTATAACGTTCAGGAACTAGGACGTGTTGCATTACTTCAAGATCACAACGAGTCGCAAAAGAAAATTCCAATGGATTTCTGCTAATGTGATAAACACAATTTTATTTGATGCCATATTGATGGTTGATGTATAGCTTGAATATTTCGATTACTTTTAATGATTGGACATATTTAAGGGGTACTTCCAATCAAGAATGCTTCCGTACGTACATGTGTCTGTGTATAAATGTGTACCGGTGTGTGTTTCAAGTGTGTGCGTCTGTGGGTGAGGGCGTGTTTGAGTGTGCGCGATTGCATCTTCTTTTTTTACGTTTCGATTTGAGAGTTTTTCGTTAGGGAATGATGTATGTTGTGTTTGTTGTTGTTGTTATATGCAGATTTCCAAATTGAAACGTAAGTTAAACTATAAATCAGTCCGCAAAATAACTAAAAGTGATTAGAGCGTCCGCCCAGAGAGCGGAAGGTCGCGGGTTCGATCCCCGACCATGTCATACCAAAAGACGTTAAAATATGGTACTTGTTGGTCCCTGCCTGGCGCTCAGCATTAATGGGTACAACAAGGACTGGTCGGCTCGGAGTCAGTATAATGTGTCTGAGTGGGGTATTCATGCTTCACTGCGGCATGGTATATCAGTGGGCTAGCACTATAAAACCAGCTTCAGTCTGGGCTAGTACAAGCAGCCGCACATACACATACACACGCATGCACGTCGTCATATGAGCGAAATATTCTCAAGCACGACGTAAAACCCAGTTTCAACTCACCTTACCTCACCTCACCTCACCTCACTAAAAGTGAAAGCAACAAACAACAAAGAAATGCAATGTAATTAACAGTTTTATTCGAAAATTAGCTGATTGTATAATTCAGTGCAAATAAATCTAAAGGAATTACAATGGCAGTATCTTCTGATACCAATTCAAAGGCAGTGTAATATAGAAGCCGTGATTATATCGTATAATATTCACCTCGTTACCATAGTTGTCTCAAAACAGGCCTGGGTTGAGTGTCCTGGGTGAAACGTGATGTTCACACAGCGGCTGGTCATCCTGTAACATGGAATGTATAGTGTTTTGTCACCTTACATACATGAGAAACGAAAGCTAAAGGAACTTCCTCTGGGGTAAACCATGCTGGAAAGGTACATGCCGTTGTAATACTTTGTAGTACTTTCAAGAATTCCCAGTCTAAATATAGCACATATTTAATTATCGTGCAGCAAGTCCCCATACTGAACGTCAACCTCATACTGACGGTCACGATCCGTAGGCATACTTGTTTTCATGCAGTAACCTCAATTTACAGACTAGTGTCTGCTCTGCGTAGGATGTAATATTGCAATTGGACTCCGATTAGACTCTTTTGTTCACGTAGTCCTGATTATTGCTTTATTAAATTATCTATTTATTTAAATGGGTCATCAAGGACACTAAACCTGGACAGTAGAATGTTTTAGCTTGCGAAGCTAAGTAAGAAACAGCTTGGCAAATATTGCTATATAATGTCTGTATATTAATATTTTAGTCATTTTTCCTCACCGTAATTTGATGCAAACTGACAATTTTTCCTTATTCTATATACAGACCAGCAGTGTCATCCTAGTTTCTGTTCGGCGTTATCTGCGACAGCTTTTACTCCTAAATTTCAAATGATTCAAACTGATTAAAAGTTTGAAACTATGGTAACATGCTCAAATAAACAGCACGGATTTCATCATGTTTATGTGAGACTTCTAATTCTGATTCTGTAATCCAACACCAGCTGCGCAAAGCTAACGCCAAAAAGCTTTCGTAAACACACAGTAAATTTAGAAATCAAAGGCCGCTGTATGTTAACGAATTTGGTCATAGAATTCTTGCCAGCCGGAATAATTGTGATTTAATCACAAGTGTTCTCTTCCGTCTGCTCTGAAACGCTTTGTTTTTGACAAGAAAAGGTACATATGTTGACAAGGTCTACTCTTGATTCCTACACTTCTCTGAGATTTAATCAAGTACACACAGTTGGTCAGAACCCCATGAATTCGCCTACTCCCATATTGGCTACCTATTAATCACGCACTTACTTCTTGTCCAGTGATTTTCAAGTTGTTTCCCCTGTATAGGAAAAACAAAGAAAGGTATAATTGGTTGGAGTCGGTTGGCAGTTTACACAGACAGAATACATTTGGGATAACTATTGCCTTACTGAAGTAGGAATACACTTGACGGATCAATGACTGCAGCGTATATAATCATATATCGGGTCGCAGAACGAAACCTTTCACAGTTCAGTGAGCTCGAGCGTAGCGCATATATAGATACAGGTATTGCTAATATCAAATATACATAAATATTCATCGACCAGATTACATCATTTTTCTATTTTCGAAGGACAAGAACGTGTGTGACGCTTACTATAAAATTATATAGCGGTTTGAATTCATTCTGGTGTTGAATTTGCCACCGATGTAATGAATGACATTTATATTTCTGTTCGTACTCTTGTTCTCTTGTACTCAGGTTAGCATCACATTTGTCTTGCAACTATTGACAGGAGAGGCATTTTGTGTGAGTCTGTGGCGGGGTGTAAGTCTGTGGTTGGATGTGACTCTGTGATTGGATGTGAGTCTGTGGTGGGGTGTGAGTCTGTGGTGGGGAGTGAGTCTGGTGGAGCGTGACTCTGTGGTGGAGTGTGACTCTGTGGTGGGGTGTGAGTCTTTGTTGGGGTGTGAGTCTGTGGTGGAGTGTGACTCTGTGGTGGGGTGTGAGTGTGTTGTGGTGTGTGAGTCTGTGGTGGGGGTGTTTGTCAGTGGTGGAGCGTGACTCTGTGGTGGAGTGTGACTCTGTGGTGGGGTATGACTCTGTGGTGGGGTGTGAGTGTGTTGTGGGGTGTGAATCTGTGGTGGGGTGTGAGTCTGTGGTGGAGCGTGACTCTGTGGTGGAGTGTGACTCTGTGGTGGGGTGTGAGTCTTTGTTGGGGTGTGAGTCTGTGGTGGAGTGTGACTCTGTGGTGGGGTGTGAGTCTGTGGTGGGGTGTGAGTCTTTGTTGGGGTGTGCGTCTGTGGTGGAGTGTGACTCTGTGGTGGAGTATGACTCTGTGGTGGGGTGTGAGTCTTTGTTGGGGTGTGAGTCTGTGGCGGGCTGTGAGTCTGTGGTGGAGAGTGAGTCTGTGGTGGAGTGTGACTCTGTGGTGGGGTCTGAGTCTGTGGTGGGATGTGAGTCTTTGTTGGGGTGTGAGTCTTTGTTGGGGTGTGAGTCTGTGGTGGAGTGTGACTCTGTGGTGGGGTGTGAGTCTATTGTGGTGTGTGAGTCTGTGGTGGATCGTGACGCTGTTGTGGAGTGTGACTGGTGGAGCGTGACTCTGTGGTGGAGCGTGAGTCTGTGGTGAGATGTGACTGTGGTGGGGTGTGAGTCTGTTGTGGGGTGTGAGTTTGTGGTGGGTGTTAGTCTGTGGTGGGGTGTGAGTGTGTTGTGGGGTGTGAGTCTGTGGCGGTGTGTGATCCTGTGGTTGGGTGTGAGTCCGTGGTGGGGTGTGACTCCGTGGTTGGGTATGAGTCTGTGGTGGGGTGTGAGTCTATGTTGGGGTGTGAGTCTTGGTGGCATGTGAGTCTGTGGTGGGTGTGAGTCTATGGTGGGTTGTTAGTTTGTGTGAGTCTGTTGTCTTTGTTGGGGTGTGAGTCTGTGGTGGAGTGTGACTCTGTGGTGGGGTGTGAGTCTATTGTGGTGTGTGAGTCTGTGGTGGATCGTGACGCTGTTGTGGAGTGTGACTGGTGGAGCGTGACTCTGTGGTGGAGCGTGAGTCTGTGGTGAGATGTGACTGTGGTGGGGTGTGAGTCTGTTGTGGGGTGTGAGTTTGTGGTGGGTGTTAGTCTGTGGTGGGGTGTGAGTGTGTTGTGGGGTGCGAGTCTGTGGCGGCGTGTGATCCTGTGGTTGGGTGTGAGTCCGTGGTGGGGTGTGACTCCGTGGTTGGGTATGAGTCTGTGGTGGGGTGTGAGTCTATGTTGGGGTGTGAGTCTTTGGTGGCATGTGAGTCTGTGGTGGGGTGTAAGTCTATGGTGGGTTGTTAGTTTGTGGTGGGTGTTAGTCTGTGGCGGGGTGTGAGTGTGTTGTGGGGTGTGAGCCTTTGGCGGGGTGTGAGTCTATGTTGGGGTGTGAGTTTGTTGTAGGGTGTGAATGTGTGGTGGAATGTGAGTTTGATGGGGTGTGAGTCTGTGGCGTGGTGTGAGTATCTGTTGGGGTGTGAGTTTGTGGTCGGGTGTGAGTCTGTGGTGGGGTGTGAGTTTCTTGTGGGATGTGAGTCTAAGGTTGAGTCTGTGGTGGGATGTGAGTCAGTGGTGTGGTGTGTGTCTGTGGTGGGGTGTGAGTCTGTGGTGGGGTGTGAGTCTGTGGTGGGTGTGAGTCTGTGGTGGAGCGTGACTGTGTGATGGGGTGTGACTGTTGTGAGGTGTGAGTCTTTGGTGGAGTGTGACTCTGTGGTGGGGTGTGAGTCTGTGGTGGAGCGTGACGCTGTGGTGGAGCGTGACTGGTGGAGTGTGACTGTGGTGGAGTGTGAGTCTGTGGTGAGATGTGACTGTGGTGGGGTGTGAGTTTGTGGTGGGTGTTAGTCTGTGGTGGGGTGTGACTGTGGTGTGGGGTGTGAGTCTGTGGCGGTGTGTGATCTTGTGGTTGGGTGTGAGTCCGTGGTAGGGTGTGAGTCTATGTTGGGGTGTGAGTCTTTGGTGGCATGTGAGTCTATGTTGGGGTGTGAATGTGTGGTGGAATGTGAGTTTGATGGGGTGTGAGTCCGTGGCGTGGTGTGAGTATCTGTTGGGGTGTGAGTTTGTGGTCGGGTGTGAATTTCTGGTGGGGTGTGAGTCTATGTTGGGTTGTGAGTCTGTGATGGGGTGTGAGTCTGTGGTGGGGTGTGAGTGTGGTTGGGTGTGTCGGTGTGGTGGGGAATGAGTCTGTGGTGGGGTGTGAGTCTGCTGTGGTGCGTCTGGAGAGTTGAAAGTGATGTGGTGCCGCGGATGGGGGTGTTTGGGTGGGTACAATGGTTTGGAATTCAAACTGAAACCATCGAGGACTTAGTAGGGTAACATCTCTCTGAAATAATGGCGCACATCTCTTTAGAGTATTATTTTACCTTGTAATGATAATATCATGCAGTTGCGAGTTTTCAAAGTGACCATGTATCGATATTATCTGTCTTCCCCCACATTTCAACACGTGAAATAATTATCAACAGTTAATGAAGATTAAATACAAAAAACTAAGCTAATCACTACGTCTTTCTCATCACCACAAACCCTTTCTCCGAGTCACTGCTACATCACCACAAACCCTGAACCAGTTACAGCTACATCACCACAAACCCTGAACCAGTTACAGCTACATCACCACAAACCCTGAATCAGTTACAGCTACATCACCACAAACCCTGAACTAGTTACAGCTACATCACCACAAACCCTGAATCAGTTACAGCTACATCACCACAAACCCTGAACCAGTTACAGCTACATCACCACAAACCCTGAATCAGTTACAGCTACATCACCTCAAACCCTGAACCAGTTACAGCTACATCACCACACACCCTGAACCAGTTACAGCTACATCACCTCAAACCCTGAATCAGTTACAGCTACATCACCACACACCACAAACCCTGAACCAGTTACAGCTACATCACCACAAACCCTGAACCAGTTACAGCTACATCACCACAAACCCTGAACCAGTTACAGCTACATCACCACAAACCCTGAACCAGTTACAGCTACATCACCACAAACCCTGAACCAGTTACAGCTACATCACCACAAACCCTGAACCAGTTACAGCTACATCACCACAAACCCTGAACCAATTACAGCTTGCAAACATGATACGACAGCTACAAGATTTCCCATGGTCACTTGGTGGCCTTGGCCAATGTATTAAGAAGGTGAATGTAGAAGTGAAAGTCATTCAATAAACGGACACACTACTTCTACTGTAAATATTCAATTCCAAGCTGAGTGAGGCTACACACTGGACAGGACTAGATAATGATTTTCTGACAGCGAAAGTGAAGGTGCGTGTCAGATAATGCTGATTCAACATGCAATGTGGATGATGGTGTTCACAGGCGTATTTAGGTAGCGGTCGGTAAACGTGTAAAATTACAACCAAATGGAAGTTTTAATTCAAGCATTACTCCGACCTTGCTGTGACAGTAGTGTTCGGCGTACGATTTACACACAGACACAGTAGGTAAACATGGCACTTGGTGAACATTTTTTATCACAAGAACGGTCGATACAACGATAACAAGTTTCAGTTTGAAACAAAGCCTTTTTTCCATTATTTCATTAAGAATCCGCTTATGGTTGGAATTGTGAGATGGATTTGAAGAGGACGCCTGTCACTAGTTTGTTGTGTTTCCAAAGTGGTGTTTGACGTTGCTGAGAGTCATTATGAGTCATTTGTAGGTTCTAAAGGGACTTGGGTTTCTGTGGACAAGACTATGGATTGGCAGGGGATTTGATGGTGTAACATTGTAATTCATTGTATTTGTTTCCAGGTGAGTCATCATCTGGTTATTTATCCATTGACTCTTCCATCCACTCGCGAAGATCAGGTTAGAACTGGTCTTCTTCAGTAACCCATGCTTCAGGACTTGTCATACTGAGCATGTACGACTTTTGTGACGTCACTCTCCTTGTTGGCATGGATTAGGTTCCGGCTCATCAGGCCAAGGCAATTCTGTGATCATATAGTATGATGGATCGTATATATATATACACACGATCCATCATACTATATGATCACAGAATTGCCTTATATATATATACACATATGCATATGATGTTGATTGTGTTTAGGAGTGATGTTGTACACACACACACACACACGCACGCACACACACACGCACTGAAAACAGTCAATGCCGTGTTATCTTTTCTTTTCTGTAAAAGAATGCAGTCGTAAACAGTTACGTGATAACAAGCATGCAACAGAAAATCTCATTTTAGATGTGATGGACGTTAATGCCGTTTCTATCAGTAGTTTTATATCATCCTTTACAAAATGTAAGTATCAATGCGTATTATACATATCTTGCGTATATCGATCCATTAACCGGTATACGAGCATTTTATAGGGTGTGGATTTGGAGCTATATACGTACAGACACCATTGGTGCTACAAAGCAGATGTTGAGTGAGCTGAATCCAGCACTCAGCCAACGATCAACGGTTCTTTGCTCGAACCACCAAGAAGGTTAAGTCACAACCTGGACCTTGAACCGCAAATGGCAAGGATCTTCAACCACAAAATATATGTTATTGTTATGCTCTTTCATAAACGATCATACAACTCTTGATCATCATTAACTTGATCAGCGTTCGAATTTTCCCTCTTTTCGGACTACGTAAAAGCTGGTAACACGTTTTGGTGGAGGACATTTTCAAATTCAATCAATAGAATCGATACCAGACGTTTGGATTAGATATCCAGCAACATGCAGGTGATCGACAGCGTGACAACCGACAGGTTTCTTCTGATTACAGCAATACGTCCTAATGTAATGACTGCCATCACACTCAACGCCAGTGTCTACTCAGAAAGTGCTGATGCCTGGTCACATCTCACTCACCTGATATCACATTAAGTCAGTTTGATTGCACATTTTCGGCAGAGCAGGACTAGCTCCAGTACCTTTTACTGTAGAATCATAATATTGTCTAAACTAGCTAGATCGTTGTGTCCGGTTGTTGGAAACTCTGATCCGCATCGGGATGTTTCTGGTCAGCCTAACTTCAATTTATGTTGTCATTGTCTTGTGCGGGTGCCTGCTTGCGTGTTTCACTGGAAGGGTAACAAGAAACTGTAGTAGAAAAAATGGTAAGCTGAGGTCGCTGACTCAAGAAGCCTCTTTGTTTCTTTCATTATCAGCCGAAAGCCGTAATTACAGGAAATCACTTACACAAAAAGACATTTCACAAGGCTCCTTTGGGCACAGTCATCGTTTAGTAACTAAACTTGCATCTGGAATACGTCTTTAAAGATATTACAAGAAAACACTTACACTAAAAGTTGTTTGTTTTTTTAAAGTCTCCTTGGACATTTCATCGTTTACTAACCAACCTGACATCTGGAAATAGATACAAGTTCTTTAAAGATACAAGTTCTGATAATTCATTTGACATTTAAAGAACATATTTACAACGCAAGTTTGTATTATTGATGCCGGGATGTTTACTAACTTGAAATTAGCTATGGCAATTTAGTTAAAGTGATTACATTTATGAGATTGTTTACTGAATTCGTACAAAATAAAACCAAAATGTCAACGAGTTATTAAAATAAATGGTATTTGTGTAAATGTACATTTATTTAAGAATCCAATGCCGTACTAAACAGGAGGGAGTATACAGTGTTGTGTTTTGTTTTCAGTGTCACAAATAGAAATCAGTACACTCGGAATTCAAGTAATTCTAGGTTCGGTTGTTTTCAATTTTTTAAATAGTTTATGGACTTCTGTGGGGTTTCAGTGAGTGGATATGATCAGTAATGTTTCAGCCACATACCGTACCCTTGTCCTGGAACTTCTTCAAGTACATGTTTCAAGTTCCTTAGCGGAACTGCCTGAAACCCGGACAAAGAATAACCGTGCCGGGTCACCCTGTAATACTAAAATCCATTTCAGAATCTGTACTTACGGTGAATATATGACTTCGTTGCTCGGCTCCAGCATCGCCGCAAACATACGAGCCAGCTGAATGCTTGTTAACGACGATAAGGATTGTAAATAAGAACTACAATCAAATCAGTAAAACAAACACAAACTCTGAAGCAAGTATTGGTTTTAAAAACATGTGGAACAGAGGCTAAACCAGGCCACGTGGTCCCTTGGTCCATGCACTCTTGATTTCTAAGAGGACTATGTGTATTGAGCCAACACTCGTACAACAAATAGACAAATTGATTTACCTCCAGTTTCAGCTTGTTAAGTATGGACGGGAGCGGTGCTTACGACTCCGTTTGGCTGGATAATGATTTCCTGGAGAGTGAAAGTGGAGGTGAGTGAATCTTGATGGAGCTTTAAATGCAGTGTCAATGCTGCTGTGACAGACGTCTAACCCAGTAAAAGAGGGCTGATGCAAAGCACCGTCTCATAAAACATTTTATAATCAAACGGACATGTTTCAATTACTCTGTGTTTGCAGAAATGAATTGTTGGGAATTAAACTCAGTTTAGTAGAATTGTACGATTCACAAGGAGTTCGAACGTAAACATTCCAACGAAGAAGGATAATTGGATAACAAGAATGTTTGACGGTCTGATGCAGCGTTAAAAAGCATCCATTAAAAGCAGAAAACCAATACAAGGTTCGTTGAGACTTCACCTTCAAATAATCAAGTTAAAATTATTTTACTTCCGACTAGCCCTGTGCCAGTTCCGTGTATTTCCCATAATGGCGTGGAAGAGAAATATCATGTTGCATTGATTACCGTATAAATACCATACGTCACGAAAAAGATATGTACAAACATTATTTAAAAAAAGATCGACACCCAGAGACATATACTTAAAGACTATAGTTAACAGAAACGCCAGACGAAATCTCACCAAACTACGCTGCAGTAACCTTGCTCTCCATTTTGAAACAGGACTATACAACAAGCCCCCAACCCACTGAATCAGAGAATATGCCCATTTTGCAGCAGTGTAGATGATGAAATCCACTTTCTTTTAAATTGCGATGTTTACAATGACTTAAGAATGAAGTTCTTAACCTTATAGATATTTCCGATTTTCAAAACGACTTACAACTTTTAAATGCTTTATGTCATCAGGACCATATATTTTATCTATTTTAGCAAATTCTGTTTCAAAGGAAGAGATTATTTACCTAAAGTTATGTATATATATGGTTTTATTAAAAACTTTCTACGGTGTATATTTTGACCCCCTAGATAACAATGTCTCACAAGCCTCTTACGGATGTGTGTAAAACATTATGTGTTTATTGTATATGTATTTTACATCTTGTTTACATACATCGTAGTTTGGGGAACTCTTCTTTCTCAGCAGAGACCAGGCGGATATCAAATCAATAGGAGTAAAGATATGTCAGATTTAATTATCTAAACGTTCACACAAATATAACATATGTTACATTTGGAATTACACTTTTTCATTATAGACAATCTTGATCTATTTTCGGTAAGGTGTTTGTGTTTTGTGACGAACTAAATAATCTGTGATTATATAAGTGATCTCAGTGAGTTGAAACGATAATTTTGTTCCTGCTCATTTATGTTACAATACATACAGGCAGTGTCTAAAATACATGTGAATGTAAGCAGTTGTTCATGCAAGGTGGTCTTATTAATTAACGTTGCGCTGATATCGGCATGTTGTTGGCATCTCATCTTTGATGCAATTATGTCAATCGCAGTGAGGTCAGTTAATTCAATGTGAAGAGAGTTGAAAGTTGACTTTGGTGAGAGTGAGTAGACGTTTTTTTTCTTATTTTGAATTGTTCGGTCAGCACATAATTTCAGATTATTTTGGATACTTGGGGATGAGTTCAAGAAACTGGTGTCAATCAGATCAGACTCCATGTTATTACACATTAAATTTTTGGCAAGTCTTACGAACTAACGTGATTCTTGGATATTAAACTACACTCACTAACTGATGTAGTCCCATTCGTGATATTGATGGAACACTATGATGGAATACGATGATGTAGTGCCGACAGATACGGAGAAGTGTCCTCGTTTCTATGGAGCCAAACTCCTAGGGAAGAAGTATAACGAAGAGGCAGAAGCACATGCTGTAAGGGACCTTCCACGGCAGCACATCACGCTTGTGACATCCACGGTGAGAGTTGGTCATTTGGTGTTCATCTTGCTTGAACATACCATTTCATAGCTTGTATCTAGTCTATTCATTATTATCGACAGTTGCAACACTCTGATACGTGACTGGAGAAACGTTCACGTTCCTGTCACCTGAATGTGTGACAGGTGGCTTCAGGGCTGCTGTTGACAGTGACATCACAGCGCATCAGTAGGAAATACCGCTGGTGTACATCATATCAATGAAACCAATAACGGTATGATTCTGTCAGTTCAAGGACACTGTTCAGTAAATGTGGGATTCAAACCCGCAACCGATAGTTCATGGTGTGATAGAGGTAAGATCCGGAGAAAGCATCTTCTCTTTATTATCCGCTCCAGTTTAAAGGCCACTGGCTTTTACATTCTCGCAATGTGGATTCTAAAAGAACTCAGAGGACTTATTCTTTTGCATGCACTCTCAGTAAAGAACCATAATTCTGACGATGCTTTTTTTTGTTCTTTCATCTTCAAACATCTTTTACAAACGTTACAAAAAGCCGTTTTTTATGAATCTTCTGGCATTTGTCAAATTAACGTCAACTAACAAAAAATTGTGGAATACATCTCTATATTTGATGAATCAGTGACAAAATAATGTGCCTGATACAATTCATTATTTGGACTGGCAACTTATATTCACGTGTATTTTCAGACGATTAGTTGATTACTCTTTGCATGTGTTTGTGACAGGTGTCATCGGTGAGGCAGGATCGGCTCACGTCCTGGTATCGTACCCCTTTGGCAGTAATTGATAAATTCATGCTTAAGAAACAGCCGGGGTCGTAAATAGACTCTGCGTTTAGCAGATATTTCATTTAAAAATGCATGAAAGCTGGGTCGTCTTTACCTGGCAATCCCAAAAGGAAACCTGTGTTGTCACATACCTTCTTGACACCGACGCAGAGACTGAATTGGATGTGAGTCCCCTTTAAATAAGTGCAAACCTAACACTAATCATGACACCATCAAACTCCTGCATTACACCGCAATTACCAAATTATTATCATTACAATTGACTGTGTCCTTCTATGGCTTTATAAAAAATGAACCAAAATGTAAAAATATCAAAAAACGTCGTCGCCAACTAATCACTTCCATTCGACGATATATTTTGCAAATTTTAAGTCAGTTGAAAGATCTGATCAAATCAGTTATGTGGGTGGTAAAGGTGGGCTGCAATCAGAAATAGATCTCAGTGCTACATATCGGCTATGAATGCAAAGCTCTGCTTCTTCGTGTTCTAACACAATTTAATGGACACCCACATGCTGCTGGTTCAACACAGGGGAAGATCATGGTTATATCTAAGATAGCAATTACATTTTCCTTGACATTTACACAGAAAATGATAGTTTTCACATTTAGAAATAACTAGAACCATCTTGTTTGCCCACTGGAATGTGACCTTCACCGTCAGTGTTGACCAAAGCATTATCACTGGCTTTGACGTTTTGGCTATTATAGTCAACTCTATTTCCTGCAAGTGTGCAACGTTTTCCACTCCAATTATGTTTGTGTTTGTTATTTCGTGCTCTTCAGGACGATCACTGTTCTGTCACGCGGTTATATAATGAATGGAGTCCTTGCCAAAAATGATGGTTGATATTGTGAGCGACGTCCTATTGACTCGCAAGTCACCAGAACACAGCATCACCTTTAGAATCCATTTACAAACTGGTAACCATTTCTAAAAGCTTACTCTACAGCAAAAGGAGCATGTTCTAAATTGCTGATTTGGATGTGGCAAAAATGTTGTGTCTAAAAGCTATTATTTGTTTACTCTAGTGGATTCATGACGAATCATCTTGGACTTTCGTTTACAACGGTATACTTGATCGATAAGACTGTGTGCATATCATCCAGTATTATATCTGTTCAATATCATACATATTACAATATACTTTAAGCTGGTAATCACAATTTACTAGATAATATATCACCTCTGTTTAAGCTGATGCGGGTGCAACTCCTATGGATAACTGTGCATTTGCTGCATTTCCACAATTTGGAATGTGACATTTTTTATGTTCGGTTTGTTCGTTGTTTAACGAAGCACTCACCAATCACCTGATTGATACTTGAATCTGGTCCAGTCAATACCGAGATCAACATCATGAACATCGATTTAAAAAGTTGGGATAGGATGACCTGTGTCAACCAAGTCTGCGAGTCTGACCACTCGATCGATTAAGTCGTCTCTTACGACAAGCATGGATTACTGAAAACCCGATTCTAATCCGGATCTTCACTTATTAATAATTATGTTCGTATGTCATGTAATTATGTATTCACGTTTGACAAGACCTATTGAGAAAGCTGAATCTCCTTGCTGTGCTCTAATTCTTCTCTTGCTCTTGTGCAACTGTTACATAATCATTTGACGAATGATTACATCCTTATATTTTCGAGGTATAAAAGACAAACAAACCGTTAGATGTTCAAAGAGCAATCGTGAATGAATTGTTTACAGCATCTTCATTTAGGATGAGGAACCGACGATAAGGGTAGAATAGAGTAACATGGATATGTCCGTTGAAACTCCGGGTGTGGCCATTCCTGATCTTTGATTTCCATAGTCTGAAACATGATGAAGGGCACATAATGTTTAACCCTCTGCAGACAAACTGAGTAATATATATGGACATCTATATAAACTGATTTGTTTGCAGCGATCATGTGACAGTGCGTGGTAATGAATATAGTACGAGAC